AATCTTGAGCGACGAAACAAATTATTGTCGCGCGTAGCGTATTTGCGCTACGCAATTAATACCATTTGTCGCGCAAGATGTCGAAATTTTTGGCGGCTTAGGGTTTAGGATTTAGGGTTTAGGTTCTGAGAATCTTGGACGAAATGTCAGCAGGTGTCGTTAATTTGATGATTAAAATATTACGTTGTGCGACGCCATTATTTTTGCTGTCGCGCAACATATCATTGCGCGACGTAGTTTAGTTTTTCGTCACGCAAGATGTCCAAAATATAGGAGGCCCTTCGTGAAAAAATCGCGGTTTTTTATCTTCGTTATCGTCTCCAGATTCGAACCCTAGCTCGAACCCTCTCAGACTTCGAACCCTCGAACCCTAAACTTCGATTTCTAACCTTCGAACCCTATCAGGTTAAATCCCCGTTGAACCCTCTCACCCTCTCAGACTGAACCCTCTCGCCTCTCACCCTCTGCTTCGAACCCTCTGACCTCGCACCCTCTCACTTCGAACCCTCTCAGTTCCCTCCTTCGAACCTTCGAACCCTCTCACACCCTCTGAGCTCTCTCATTCAAACCCTCTCAAACCCTCTCTCATTCGATCCTTTTCGTCAAATTGCTCGATTCTCAGGCTGACTCTCGCATCTCAATATCAGGTATATCTCCTCTTCCTCTAATTGCTCTGGATCTGAATTTTGAATGAACAAAATTAGGGTTTTTTTTTGTCCAAATTAAAATTTGGGTTTCATGAAATTATTTAGGAATTGGTTTTTAATTGCGCTGTATTGTTTAGGTTCTGTTATTTGATGGAAATTAATTAAGGCTTTTGTAATAATTGGGTTGTTTTTAGGTTCTGTTGTTGGTTTGCATGTATTGTTTAGGTTTTGGTGGATGTGATTGTGAATGTTGATTAATTGGGGGATTGGGGCTTTGCTGGAAATTGGGACTTTTGCTGTTTAAGTGGCTGTTTTTAGGTTCTCTATAGGTGATTCATTTGCTGCTTGGTGTCAGATTATGCATTATGTGTTGCTGATTAGATGGATTGTTTTTAGGTTCTTTTTTCGGTGTTATGCTGTTCAGTTCTTGAATGATTATTAATTGGTTATGTTTCTACTGCTTCAAGGTTATCATTGCTGGTTACATTTTGGTGCATAAATGGTAGAACAGTATGCTGGTTATAGTTTTGTTAAACTGCATGTATTGGTTGCTGCTATTAGTTGTACAATTTAGCAAACTTTTTCAGCTTTCTCTCTAATTACAGTTTTACGCATTTTCTGATGCAGGAGCATGTATTAGGATAATTTGTTTTCCTATTAGTTTCATTTCTTGTTTAGGTTTTAATTTTGTTTGTCAATTGCGGTTTCTTATTAAACTAGGAACATGAATGCTTGGCTGGTTAATACATAAGCAAATAGATATGTAAATCTGTTATATTATTTAGATATGTAATATATATATGCTTAGTCTGAAGGTTGGTTAGGATATTTTGTGTTCTTCAATTAGTTCTTGCTTGTTCCGTTGTGCAGATGTCAAACCTAAATAGAAGTCGTAAGGCGGTGTCGGCCGGCGCCACAGAGTGCGCCCCCCCCGCCGCAGCCAGCAGCTGCCACAGCTCCAGCAGAGATGGACCACTTGCCAGTTGGTCCAAGGGTGTCCAATGCGTCGACGTCATCAGCGTCGTCTGTGGCCCAACCTGTTAGTGCCAGGCGTTGTCATCGCCCACCCAGCACCTCTGAAACCATATCGACAGACGCTTCTGCTGGGTCAGGGTCACAACCCGGTAAAGATTTCCTTCACCTCCAGTTCTTTTGGACCAATATTTTCTAGTTGCATATCTTATTTATTTAACGTTCATTTCATATTTCTTTGCAGCGAAGAAGAACACTCGGGGGCCGTGTCGGCAGTTGAAGACGGCGAAGGTCACTCGGGTGACCAACAGTCGTATCAACATCGAATACGACAAGCGGCATCGGGCAGCCTCGACGGCGGAATTGCATAGCTCTTTGGCCCACGACATTGGTCATGTCGTTCGGACCCATTGCCCTATGCAATGGAAGTCTTGGAAGGTCATACCTGACGAGGTCAAGATGGAGGTGCGCGAACATTTGTCGATATGTATCCTACATTTTATTTGTTTGTCCTTCAAATTTTATTTATTTATATGCCTGGTCTATAATGAATTTATTGCAGAGGAACTACAAGTTAGAGGACCTCGATGATGAGTCATTGGCGTACGTCAATAGACTTTTTGGTGAGAGGTACAAGAAGTGGAAGAGCAACTTGCACCACCATTTTCAGGCATTTGATGATCCGCAAGTCGCTCTTGAAGAGGGTTGCCCGAAGAAGCTTGAGGGCCGGGAGGATAGTTGGGCATGGCTCTGCGCTCCTTTTCTGGCACCCGAATATGTGGTATTTTTATTTTTATATTAATTGTTCAAACTTATTACATGTTTCTTACTAATGTTTATTTAATTTTTTCTATTTCATTTCAATTTCAACTGATGCGTTTATTTTTTGGGTAACAGAATAAGCCCACAGTAAATAAGGGCAATAGGAAGAAGAAGACTCTTCTCCACCATTCAGGTTCCAAGCCCTTCTCATATAGGATGGACGCACGACAAAGGGTAATAATAAATTAGTTTTATATCCAATTTTGAATATGTAATTAATATTAATTTCTATTTTTCGTACTAACATTTTTCTTGTCTTGTTCAATTTAGAGGGGGTCCAAATTCTCGGAGATCGACGTCTTTGGCGACGTTTATGTTCGACCTGGGAATGAGTTGGCCTAGTCCATTCATGTAAGTATTCTTTAATTTTAATTATTATATACGCATTCAAGTGTCATGGTTAATATATGAATGTTTTAATTAATTTTAATATTTTATGTTTTAATTCTGTAATTTTAATTAAACAGACAACGATGGTGGAGAGGAGCCAGTTGGTTCTTTAGGAGTCTGCCTCCCAATTTCCTCCCGATACTCCTCTCGAGTCTGTGCATCCTCCACAAGATGCGGGGTTTCAAATCTTGACGGAAACGTTGGATCAAACTCTCAGGAGGAGGCCCGGGACATATTGTCGAGGGATGGGGAATGCCCAGCGGCGGGAACCTATACCCCGTTCATCGTCGCAGTCAAACGAGGTGACTGCTTTGACAGCGACGGTGGCCGAGCTTAAGGGTCAGATGTCTATGATTCTAGAGTCCCTTGCTCGGTCAGGCATTCCAATCCTGCAGTTTGGTTCCTCCTCGACCTCCCCCCCGCCCCCCCCCCCCCCCCACCCGGGCTCCCAGACATCTCCCCCTGCCGACAATGCCCAGACGTCCGAGCCGCATCTCACAGACGACCACGTTGATTTTGGAACTTTATTCAATTAGTTTTTTATTTGTTATTACATTTTAACAATTTTTCTTGTAATTACATTTATATCATTTTATAACATTTCTTTTCTCTTCATTACATTTGTTTAATGCAATTTTATTTTATTGAAAAAAAAAAAGATAAACCAAATTTTAAATTTTAATTAACAAAATAAAAGAAACGGAAAATTAAATTTAAATAATAAAATATTTATTTTTGCGCGACGAAAACCTTTTGGTCGCGCAAATTAAAAATAAAAAACAAAAATATTTTTTATTTTTGCGTGACGTTAAGTATTTCTGTCGCGCATATCTTTGTGCGACGAACATTTTCCGTCGCTCAAAGATTGCGTAACGAAAACTTTTTCGTCGCTCTAACTTTTGCGCGACGAAAATTGCACGACAAAAATGTCCCGTCGCGCAAATTTTGCGTAACGAATATATTTTCGTCGCACAAATATTTGCGCGACACAACATACTGCCGTCCCTGCACATTTTGTGCGACGAAGGCTAATCGACGAATGAAAGTTTTTTGTCGCGCAATGTCTTTCTTCACGAACTTCGTGCAACGGATGCTGCGGGACGACTTTTCCGTCACGCTTACGTTTTTGCGACTACATTCATCTTTACGCGACGGAATTGTTTTCGTCGTGCAAACTGTAAAATGTAGTAGTGGAGGTTTGATTGAGAAAGGAAGTTTCTAATCATGCCCAATTGAATCATATAAGATAAAAGAGATCACATTAGGGGTTTGACATGAATTCTGTATCCTATTAATGTGAACAAAAATATTGTAAAAAGAGAAGGACTTGTATTGCATTGTAATTCTAACTGAATGGGTTCTTCAACACATTTGTTTCTAGATCGTTAACCGTATTTTGTGGAAACCCTGAGAACGTTTCGTAACTGGGTCCTCACATAAGAGAGAATCAAACGGGAGTTCCAGATCCTGTGAACAAGAAATTAAGCTGCTTCTTGAGGCTGAGCACCTCGACTCCTTCCGTCGCTAACTGCTGCTTTAGGTTTTTGTGAAGCCTCCTCAAACTTCTTGTTCATGTGATCGGACGGACTCGTCTAATGTTTCTTTATATCTCCTTCGCATCCGAAAGGTATCTAACCTTGCTTGTCCCAGTCTATTATTTTATGATCAGCCGAGTATTAAAATCTTTTGTTTTTTTTCTTCTAAAACTTCTTTATTATCAGAATTTCAGAATGCTAATAGTTGTCTTGCTCAGATTAGGTCATGAGAAGGGCCTGGACGCACCTGATCATATCATGGCCACAGATTAGGTCAAAAAAAATTACAACATAATACGTTACGTATATTTTATTAGTAAATTTAGGTTTTAGCCAAAAAAAAAATTTCACTTTTTAAAAAAGCCAAAGCTTTTTCAAAAAAGACAGAAAAACCTCTCAACTTTTAAATCAAAGACATGCAAATGTAAAGGATTTCTTAGGAAATCCAAAAATAAATAAGGGCAATTTTGTCCATTTTGGCTTCTTTTACAAATTTTCTCTCTCCTTTGTGTTTTTCCAAAGTCTATTATAAGGTAAACCATTATATCATATGATCGGACTCCAATACCAAATTCAGGGTCTGAAGAAATAAATAAAAAAAACTATTATATTAGGCACCAGCATCAGGGACTATCATCTTAGAAGGTAAACCATTCAAGATTTCAATTACCAAATTCATGACAAACATTGTCATCCTCAAAGTACCCAGAAACAACTTCCTCAAAAAACCCACACATAACACCAAGACAAGAGACTATCAAGAACCTATCCGCTACCAAACTCATGACATCTTAAGCCAGCGTAATGCGTAACGTAACATGACTGAACTCAACGGTACCGACGAAGGGAGAGGGTGGTGTTTCTCTTCCAAGTTGCTCTGCGAGATGGTCGTGCCTTGTGGTATAGGTGTCCCTTTCCACGCAATCCCCTGCACTTCTTTCCGGCCGAAGTCAGTCCACGAAGCTCCCTGTGCTTGTGAACAGGATTGCAGAGCCAGTTGATTCTTGGGTCATTTCGGATAGCATTATGAGCAACATCAACCAGGATTACCTCAAAGTACTTGTAGGTCGAATCCTGCACCCATATAGATAGATTAGCAAAGAAGAATAAGCAAGTGCATCACCATGAAATAAAACTACCACCGAACCGGCCCAAAAAAGAAAGAAAAAGCAAAACAGGTACTGCAACCCAAGTACAAGAAGATATAGAAGTAAGAACTGAGTCACCACCTCATTGATCCAGTATGAATTCAGAACCCTAAGGCCTGCCAATTTGCGGCCAGCGCGCTCCTCGGCAACAGACCTTAAGCTGCGTTGAAACTTCAGCTGTGTCACACCTTGGTTTGTGGGCTTCCCATATACAATACCCTTGGAAACAGGCCTCTTGCGACCGCCACGCTTTACACGGACACGATAAACAACGTAACCCTGAAACACATTTTACTAGAACAATCAGCTTACCTACTTAACTTAAACATGGCTGGGGAACAAAAGGTACATAAAAAAATAACATGTAAAATAAACAAAATATCATATCCAGACTGAAATAATTCACTTTATCGGATCAGGATAAAAGCAAGAGTCATCGAGAGATCTCCCTAGGTAAATGAAAATTGTTTGGTTTAGTACAGCAACTCTTAGAAAGCATCAAAACGCTGCTTCACACAAAAGGAAATATGCAGGCTCACTGAAACAATAATATCTAATTATGTATCATTAAGCGATGCATGAAAATTATAGACCCCTCTAGATATGCAGCAGATAGGCATATACAATACAAGTCAAAAGCCTGGACACCTATTAACCTTAGTCATGAAGTTAGATAAACATAATTTCAACAATGAGTTGCGTATAGGATGCGATCCATGAAATTATATATCATTACCTGCTTGGCCTTGTAACCCAAAAGACGAGCCTTGTCAGGGCGTGTGGGTCTTGTGACTCGGACAATTGAAGGATGCTGGCGATATTCCCAACAGCGCACCCTCTGGACAAACCTCATCACATCAGATTGCTTCTTCCTCCATAACTCCGTTGGATACTTGTAAAATCCTAGTATCACCAAAACAGAACAAAACCAGAGTTATATAATAGATCATCGTTGAAGGAAATGTCTGTGATATTTAAAACTAACTGCATCTCATCATCACAGTCTCAAACAATATCTTTTCCGTGCGTCTCAACTATAAAATAATGTAATTAATTTCGTGGAAATCAAACAAACATAACTTTAGTCATATACTACACCAAATCAAATACTACCACCCTTGAAATGTTGCCTAAAAAGTGTAGGACAAAAGCAAAAGAGAATAAAAGATTTTTTGTTCCAGAATTTTTATCTTTCACAACCATGAAAAACCAACAGCCTTAGTCACCGAAGCATCAGACAAATACCAACCCAGTTACAATGAAGTGTCCATTTATATCGAAATTCAACTTTTATTTTTCTGCTTTCATTAGCCATTACTGGGATTTACAAACCAAATAAACGCTAGGCGCACAACATTCCAAAAAAATCAAATGCATATAAAACAGATTCGGATAAAGTGTCACTGAAAACGAGAGAGAGAGAGAGAGAGAGAGAGAGAGAGGTACCCATTGTGTAGCAATGAGCTACAATGCTCAGGCTTCGGCAGTGGGGCTAGGGCTTTCACCACGCAGAACTAGGGTTTGTGAAGAAAACAGAAATTTATAGTGTGGTGGAAGTGGTCGTGGACTTCTAATCTGGCCCGTCCATTTCCTACGAAACCCTAATATTAAATGGTCCCGAGACGACGGCGTGTCGCGTCCCAAAGAAACGACAGCGTCTTTTTCGGCTCTTAAATCAATGAACCCAAAATCTTGGAGCCCAAATCCATGACAAAAACATGGTTCCAAAGGGGAGGGTCCCACGTGTATGCTAATTTGGACCCTATGTTTTTTTTTTTTTTTTTTGGGTCTGAAGGTTTGGACTCTAGTTTATGCGCTGCTCAGTCAGACAAAAAGGACATTTAGAAATCAGATGACCAAGAAGACAGCAACGCAATTGCACAAGAAGCTAGCCATTAATTGTTGAGTGAGGAACAAAAGGGTGTGGAGTAGGTCACACCTCTCCTGCCCATCAGTTCACTCCACTTGCTTTCTCTCTCCTCTCTTGAAAAGCTTTGGTGCGGCTCCTCCCCATGTGTTTCTTCCAACATCTTTTATCATTTGTTTATTTTTATATTCTTACCATTTTCCAACTCATATCATATGGTATTAATTTCAATACATATTCACCTACTCATATGACCGTATTACATTTTTCATCTTTTATATTATAACATGTAAACAAGTTATACCATATGATCGGACTCCAATAACTCGTCGGTGTTGAAGGCCAGATCTGATGAGGTCGGGGTTTAGAGTGACATGCTGGGTTTTGAGCTGGATATGATATTGCGGCGTCGGATCAGGTGATGTGAAGGTGACGGTGGTATTGCTGCTGTTGCCGAAGGATGAGGGGGTGGGGTGTCTTGATAAGTTTTGGAAGGAGAGAGAGAGGGGTTAGATGGATGGGGGAGGTTGGCCAGTGCAGCTGGGTTTTGGGGCGGGGGTGGTGATTGCTTGGGATGGGAATAGTGTTGGGATTAATGGGTGGGCTTGGGTTTTTTTTGTTTTTTGTTTTATTTAACTTTTCTTCATTTTAGTTATCAAAATCTTAATATAGGAGGGTAGAGTAGGAAAAAGAAAAAACAAAAAAAAAAAAAGATTGATTAGAAAGTATTAAAAAGCAAAAAGGAGTGTAAGCGGAGAAAATGGGAGTGGGAAAATCACTTCCCTTATATTATAACACGTAAACAAGTTATATCATATGATCGGACTCCAATACACCGTTGTAATTACTCATGTTTTAGTTTTTTTTTTCTGTACAAAATGATATTTTAAACTATTCTAATATACGAGGAAGGGAATCGAACTCAAGCGCAAGAAGGTGAGCAGACTACTGAAGCCTAGGCTTGAGCGAGGGTCAGTTCAAAAAGGTAGAGGGCTCTTTCATTAACCAAACTGGTTGATCATTTTCTCTTCCGTTAATCAAACCAAAAACTTCAGTAGACTTCGAATCGGTTAACCTAACATTCGGTTCGGATTGATTCAGTAGGCTGATAGTACAATAATAAAAACATACTAATAAAAATACAATTTATAATAATTTCACATAACATAAGTTCTTAAACAAATACACCAAATTATCCTTGTAAAATATAAAAATCCAATAGTCTAATTCATTCAAGTACAAATCAAATAACTTGGTTTTAAAGTTACAAACAAACATGAAAAATACATAATATTAAGAAAAGAGGCCTAGTAATCCTCAACCCATATCTGATTACCATATATGTACACTATATATTATGAAAAATACACACATATACACTATATATTGTCTAAAAATCTATTACCATATCAAGGACATGGTATGTTCTGTTGTGAGAGATGTTGATGAGATTGGTGTAATTGACCATATATCTTTATGAAATAAAATTAAAATAAAATAAATAAAAGTATACAAAGCTGTAATTTATTAATGCGAGCGAGCTACCTGGGATCATATGTGATGTCTTTATATGAATCCAAAAGTAACTTTCGTATACAACAGAACACAAATGTGGGCACAAAATCATGCATATTTCTGTGTTTATAAGGTAACCGTGCATTTTCTATAATGTAATCATGCATCTGGCTTTCTTCTTTGTTTACCTCGAAAAATTTGAAGAATATACATTGTCTATTATAGAAGATTCATGTGCTTCAAAACCTGGCAATGATGACAAAGCAAATGTGCAATTGACTTCATGTCAATCACAGCTTTGTATTTATTTAGGGCATGTTTACATATCAATAATGGAGAAAGTAAGGAATCAGAGAATTTAGGAATCGGGGAAGTACTAAATCGGTATGGGAAGAATCATTCTCATTAAGCTATTTACTAAACATATGAAATTAACAAAGGAATGGGGTTGATTCTCATTGTTATTGTTTATTCATTTTCATGAATCAGAATCCAAATTAATTTGATTACTAAAATGCCCTACACATTTTCACCACGACACATATATAATTTTTAAATTGGCTAAGGAGACCAAACCAGTAAGGCTGTGTAAACATGAGGAATTAATATGTTCAACAAGATAAATAGCAACAACCCAATTCAATGATAATGTTAATAACACCTTTGTCCAGAGCCAATTTCAAACAAAAAAATAAACTCCAATAAATATATATATATTTTTCACTTATGTAAATAGTAAACAATCAAATAATAATAACCTACATAATCTTCATAGTACCAAAAAAAAGAGATATAATCTCCACAAAAGTCATTCACCCATTACTCATCAATCACAATCACAGTAAGACATACTCCATAAGATTAAATATCTTTTTTTTCTTCATCAATCATGATAAAGAAGACCCTCAGCAAATCGTGCTCTTTGGCTATATATATATATATATATACATATATATATATATATATATATACAG